TTTCTGCGGCCCAGTCATTCCTATCTAAAGTCATCGAAAACTCAATCTGAGGAGGTTGATTTATTTTCTTATCAATCTGTGAATTTTAATTTCCTTTTTAGAGGACCAGTATGAAGATTGAGACATCTTGAGTTAGTAGTCAAAGCTTCTTACCCTAGTGCGACTCTTATGCTTTGTACTAATATGATTTGCTCCTTGCTTGTGACTGAACCCATTATATCTAGTCTAGGGCATATAATTGATTAATTATTGCTGTTTTACTGTTTTATGGAGCCAAATTTCTACTTTGTTGTGCTTTGAGCCTTGGACAGCTAACCATGAGACAAAATGCTCACTCTTAAAAATAAATCAGAAATTTCTGACTTTCTAGTTGTATTTTTTGTATAGTCATTGACCAGGTGGACAACAACAGTTTCAATGGGGGTTAAATTATTTCACTAGAGTAGATTATGAAGATGTGCACAAAGCATCATGCATTCATTTTAAGTTATATGATACTCATCAGAGCAGCCACGAAGCATCGTTTTTGAAAGGGGGGCAGCCAGAGAAAAATATTTTTGACTTACCTGAAGAAGTTGACAAGCAAAAAAAGAAAGGGGGAAATTGCCCAAACCCCTGCCCCCCCCCCCCGTTGCTACGTGCTTGCAGGACAATTGAAAAAGAATACATTTTAAAACGTATACATGTATATTGCTTGTATCTCAAATAAAAAATGAAATCGTGTACATGTCCCGCTGTAGCTTCGAACCAGCGACGTAAAGATGAACACCTCACTCCGCGAGTCTAAAAATGGTCGTAGAGGATGAAGTAAAGAAGAAAAAAAAAACGAATATAATTGATTAATGCTGGAAAGCAGATTCAACTGCATACAGCATAGGCTTTGATGAAGACAGCTGAAAATATAACTACAAGAACTTTGTAATCGTAACGGTTATGACTGACATGAGAATATGTTTACTAGTTTCTTAATTTGGGTATGCCAGAGCATCAAAAATTGTTGGAAACGTGGAATAAAAAAACCCAATATACTTAAATGACCCAACAAACTTGACGGCAATTTATGAATGGTGACAGGCGCGGATTCAGGAAGTTTTTCCCAGGGATGAGGGGTCCACATCAAAAATATTTGTAAGAGCAAAAAAGTAATAAACTTTCTCAATCCTGAAATGTAAGAGGACACTTTCATAAGTCTATACTATGTTTTTGTAGGGGGAAACCCCCCGGGGGATATGATCAGATGAATATTTGGCCGGTATACTCTCTAAAGAGGTCTTTGTTCTTTTCGATTTTATTACTTTAAATGATGTAACTTCTAACTCACTTCACAATATAACTGATTTTTTTTCCCCCAAAGCTCGACCAGGATATTCTCAAAAAAGAACATACTTTAAATAATTCATGCAGTCATGCATTTTCATTTCCATTCAATAGAATAGTCCAGGGAAAGGGCGCAAGAACTTACACGTGACATTTTGGCGCGAAAAATGGACTAATCAAGTAGTATAAAAACGCTGAAAAAAAGGTCAAACGGACATGTTCCGTATAAGAACTGGCATGAAATAAATAGCTACTAGCAAAAAGCTAAAGGAAATAAATACATCAATGTATTGTATCAGCAATATGATTATTTTTCTGCTAACTGTTGTTGCTGAAACGCATGTAACAAAATCCGATGATACTCAGCATGAACAAAATTTTGCTGGCTAACTGTGACCTCTTAGCTTCACACCAAGGAAATATTGATCCTTATACAGTAGTGCCTGACGCCGTGACGTCAGGCAACAAACATACTATCAGTACATGCAGTACTTTGATTACTGCAGAAGTGAAAGTGACGCAATTCTCGTGAATGTTCATTAGTCAATGTCATTTGAAGACTCTTAAATTTAGACAAAAGTACCTTCTTCAGCCCCCCCCCCCCCCGAAATAGCGAATCGGGGATTGTTTACGTTTTACTCCTTAAAAATAATTACTTACATTAAACCATCCTTGACTCCCATATGTTTAATTATTACTTTTATCTATAACAGTAAAATTCAACCAATATACAGTTGTCGTTTGATCTTAACAAAACTCCAATCGGGCCAAACCCAAAGTAAAATGACAACAATCGGCACGTCTAATTTGGCTTGAAATTACAAGCCTTAATAGTTACCCGAAAAATAAAACTTATTTCATTTCTAAAATTAAATCAGTACCACAATTCAACTTCATAAAAATTTCCATGACCTTACCGTTTTATCGATTCATCAAGAAAGGAAGAGGAAGAAACAACTAAATAATAGACTTTATGCAAATGAACCTAAACTATCCAGAATGATAGGTTGTGACTAAGGGAGAATATACAATCGCAACTTCTCGGGCCTTTCCGACTAGCGGAAAAACGACCTCGAATGTACTAGGAAGACGCCATGACAACTCCCCCTTTTCACGATCTTTGAAATAAATGCATGAAGACCTATCATCTGTGGAATATGGAGTTAAACTTTATTCAATTTAATGATGTTACCTAAAATATCTTTCGGTTTAGGGAACTTCGATCTCCGATTTTTCCAGGGTACATTTGAATAAAAATAATGGATTTTATCACCAATTTTTAACATCCTGATCATGAGTTTTAATATTTATAATGCGTCTTAGTCCCAAACATGTAATAAAACGTCTCATTCTTTCAAACGTTTCAGTGACTATAAACAGAAACGTGTAATCATGGCGGCAAGCATGTCTTTATTTTAAAGTGAAGTTAAAATGTCTTGGAGGTAACACGATGTTTAAAAACTTAATTTTCACAGAGAATGCATGAAGGAAGAGCATACAATGGGAGATGCAATATTTCTCTTCCCCAAAGAGTCCTGTTAAAAACGTAATCTATGATTCTTATGGAAACAAAAATAACCACATTAGCTGTTTCAATGACATAACTTCGCTATTTTTTCCCAATGGAAATATTTTTCTTCCAGTTCAAAAGTAACGAATTAATATGTTGAAACTGGACAAAAATTGTGGAAATTGCACACAAAGACTATGTACGTTTTTTTTTTTATTTGAATTTTATTTCCCAAACCCAGACACATGCTAAATTTTGTGTGACAAGTGTATGAAACAATGAAAAAATCAATATAACCAGATAAATAGATTGTTTTCATGGTTATAGGTCCCAGATACATGCCTTGTTGTTGAAATTTTACTTTGACCTCCATTGGTAGCTATATATAAGGTCATGCTAATAAAAGGAAATAGGCAACAGTGTAGGGTTTCACTAAAAGGTGTATCTGTGACATGTCTTGATAATTAATATAATATAGTTTACAAGATTATGAACTAAAAAAAAATTAAAAAAAAATGAATGTGGCATGTTCTCAATATTCTATCATCAACATCAACAAAAACAAAACGATTTCAAATAAGATCTGAAGTAAACCCTCAGTAAAATCATTTATAGTTCCTTTTATTTGATTCTCATTTTACTACAAATAATTTTTCCAAATTTCAGCAGAATTTTATGTTTCTAATTTTTACCAATTCAAAAGATGGGTGGTGGTGTTTCTTGTTTTTTGAAATGACTAACAATTTGAAAATGAAGTTTCAAATTATTTTTATTTTTATTTTGTCGCCACACAATGGACATTTTGGTTGAAAAAATCCGTAAACCTAAAGATAAAATAACTTTGGCCTAAAATATACTATAGAGGGAACTTCTATCTCCGTCTATCCTACATTTGAATAAACAGGAATTGTATAAATTTTTAACATCCGGTGATGTTAATACACCAGGTTGTTTTGCCACACATAACAGAAGCCCGAGATGATGCGATTGGGAGAATATAATTATTTATCTCAAAGGACTTAAGATTTCCGGAATGGAGGGACATTGAGTTACTGAAATAAACTCACTTATCCGAGACGACGCTCGTATAAGTGGTGATATTTTTCAGCCTACTTCATTATTTGATGATTATATATGTTTGTGTTTGCCCTACATGTAAATTGTATTGTTTCAATAAAATAAAATTCTAAAAGCTTGCTTACTCTTCGTTTTCTTCACATTTATAATTCAAGATTTTCGGTTCATTTGGACTTCTTATATATCCCCCCACCTTTGTTAAAAAATAAAGTTATTTCCTTTATTTGAGGTATTCAAAGACCTGTAAGTAATAGGGTCCGCCAACGGCTTATCTCCCCCTTGCGCCGCTAGAGGCGCTGGTGTACTATGAACATGGCGTACGCTTCGTACACAGTGCCGAAACTGAAAAAAAAATTAATAATATTCCGCGGCGCTGTAACGACAGGAAGGAAAACCGATCTCATAGAAAGGTAAGAAAACATTGATCTGTTACATGCAAACCTTATTCATTGAAGTAATCCTTATATAACTTGTATTTTAACGGTATTCAGTCATGTGGTGCTACGTAGTGAAATGACAACAATGTTGAAAATGCATTCAAAACATATTACATAGGCCTGTACTTCACGCAGTTTGGAAGCATACGAAAGGAATTTCAACTTTAGCGGTCCCGTCATAGAACTGCCAGTAGAAAGGAATGTAGAATGGCCAACTACTGGGTATAAACAAATGACATCGGACCATTATGACCATTTGCCACACATAACAGAAGCCCACATCGAAGGTAATATTACTATGAATTTGGATATCAAGGGAAACTCGCTTAGGCAGTTAAGTTTGTATTTGAAATGTGTAATTGTTGTATGTCACATATGAAATGTTCCAGTCTTGAAAATTTTATATCAGAAATAAATAATGTCAGCATGCAGGAGTAAAATTCTTATTTTCTGTTGGAAATCTTAGGATATTTTCAATATAGACAATGCAAGCAGTCGACAGACAAATGATGGGCAATAGATAGTTTTCGATTGACCAAGAGTTACTTCCCGTTGGCCGCCATACTGGAGGTCCAAATGCTCATATTCCTTCATTGTTCAACCAATTAAAAAATTTTTATATTTGCTATTTTGAATTAGAAATCATTATTTTTCTGAAGTATATAAATTTTTGGAAGCCTCCTTTATTTAAAAAAAATTATTTGATAAAGATTTTCCACCAAATATTTCTGTTATATTTTGGTTTACAGTAATTGTTGTATGTCACATATGAAATGTTCCAGGAAAATTTTATATCAGAAATAAATAATGTCAGCATGCAGGAGTAAAATTCTTATTTTCTGTTGGAAATCTTAGGATATTTTCAATATAGACAATGCAAGCAGTCGACAGACAAATGATGGGCAATACAAAGGCCATTGTGAAAGGAAAATTACTCCTGGAGTCAGAGAGAGTTGAAACACTGAGCATTAACTGTCAAGATGAAGACTTTTTCCTTACAGGATTTGTCAGAGATGCAATGAAGAAAAAGGTAATGAAAAATAATAAATTAAAAAAAGAAATCAATGTGCATTTATAGTGTGAATATAGTCAAAATTAGTTCTTATGTGGTTGAAAATATATGGCTATATTTAACAGGTGTCTTACAATTATCGTGTAAGAATTGACAGAAAAACAGGTGAAATTAAAAATTCAGACTGTGAATGCCCTGCTGGGAAGGGCCCCAATGGAATCTGTAAACATGTAGCTGCTGTTGTTTTGCTCTTGGTGAAATTTCGGGAAACACATATAATAGCTATTCCTAGGGGATGTACAGAAAATCTTCAGACTTTTCATAAGCCAAAAAAGTCTTTTAAAGTTGAGCTAACTGTGTTAAAAAAATGTTTCTTCTTTCTTGCTTTCTTTTTTTTTTTTTTTTTTTTTTTTGTTAATTTGACAATACGAATGTAAAATATTTGAGGTTTTTAGTTTTTCACACAAGTGTCAGGGATACAAAAAGATTTTCAATATAATGTTTGGATGATGATACCATTTAAACATATATATACACAACTTTAACTCTGAGGCCTGTGTCACATTTTTTATTAAGTTACATGATCTACAGACGAATTCACAAATTTACAGTTTGTTGAGTTGTTTTTGAACGTTTGAAAGATTATTTCGCATGCATGCAAAATATATATTTTTGTGTTCAGTATTAAACTTTGTCGATTAATTCATGTGATCCAAAATTTCCAAGCAATGTAGATTAGTAGTAAACCATGAAAATAAAATCAATAAAAAGTTTTATATGAATACATTTATGCAAATATTAGATCACACAAGTACTTATATTCAGTATATGACTTTGTAAAGAAAAACACAACAGGAATATATATTTGATAAACTAAAATAGAAATAAAATGCAATTCTTTTGTGTCATTTTCTTAAAAAAAGAATAACATCCAACTTATTTTAAATCTTTGAATTTTACAGGCTCCCCCATAAAAGCTGAAGACATGCCTTGGACTTATAATCCAGATCTTAGTGACCCTCGGCCTCAGAAATACAGAGGAAAAGCTGGATACAATGATTATGTGAGCAACATTGTAACTAACTACTGTGCTGTAACATCTGCAGATTTGGCTTTCAAGTACATAAAGCCCAAGGCATTTATCAACATTGCAGTACTAGACCATGATTACTTGGACCTTCCATTCACCGAATATTGGATAGATGCAGCTCAAAAGGTATAATATAAATAAAATATTTTGTAAAATAGCTGAAGAAATTGTTTTAGTGAATCTTGATGAATTTGAAGAAATTCTTTGGTATACTTTATTAAGAAATTTTAATTTTTGTACAGGTGTCAGATAGGGACATCGCTCGCATTGAACACAGAACGAGGAAACAGAGCCTGTCGAAAGTTTGGCACCGTGAAAGAAAATGGCGTTTGACAGCTTCCAGGTTTGGGGATACTAGTATATGCAAAGCTACTGATCGACGCAACAGATTGAAGCTGTGTTCTAGCATCTTAAAACCTCTTAAATTAAAAACACTCGCTGTCCTACATGGCCAACAATATGAAGCTGTGGCAAGACAAGTATTCTAAGACAAAACAGGTTTTAAAGTCAAAACTTGTGGCCTTTTTGTAGATTTAGAGAATAATTATTTGGCTGCTTCGCCGGATGGTATTATTGGAGAAAGTGCGATTATTGAAATCAAATGTCCATATAAGGGTAGAGATCGTAAGATTGCTGCAGATAAGTTTTTCCCATTCTTGCTAGAGGATGATGATGGTGTATTGCACTTGAGTCATAATTATTACATGCAGGTGCAAGGGCAGCTTAATGTGTGTAAAAAAGAGAAGTGTTTCTTTGTTGTATACACATTTGTTGATATTTTTGTGGAAGAAATTAATGTTGAGAGAGATTACTGGTGTGGTTGCATGTTACCAAAGCTAGAGTTGTTTTATAAGAAACACTACAGAAAATTTCTTGCTGAAAAATTGTAAATTGGTGTCATTATCAATCTGCAGTTGAGGGCCGTTGTTAAGGAAAACATTTGTGATGTACAGAAAATTTCATTTATTATTTATATAGATACCGGTAATGATACAATTTTCATATATAGAAAAGCTTTTTTCAGCTCTAAAGATCAGCAGTTCTGTTCAGCACAATATTTTTAAATTAATTGTTTATCACAGAATACATTGTTTAATTCTGTTTTAATGGATACTTTTTTAGCTCACCTGAGCCGAAGGCTCAAGTGAGCTTTTCTGATCACATTTTGTCTGTCGTCCGTCTGTAAACTTTTCACATTTTCGACTTCTTCTCAAGAACCAATGGACCAAATTTAACCAAACTTGGTACAAAGCATTCTTGGGTGAGGGGAAGTTTAAATTGTAAAAATGAGGGGGTCAAGTCCCCTTCCAAGGGGAGATAATCAAGAAAATACAAAAATAGGGTGGGGTCATTAAAAATCTTCTTCTCCAGAACCACTGGGCCAAGAAAGCTGAAACTTATGTGGAAGCATCCTTGGGTAGTGTAGATATTAAATTGTAAAAATCATGACCCCCGGGGGTAGGGCGGGGCCACAATAGGGAATCCAAGTTTTACATAGAAATATATAGAAAAAAATCTTTAAAAATCTTCTTCTCAAGAACCACTGGGCCAGGAAAGCTGAAACTTATGTGGAAGCATCCTTGGGTAGTGTAAATATTAAATTGTAAAAATCATGACCCCCGGGGGTAGGGCAGGGCCACAATAGGGAATCCAAGTTTTACATAGAAATATATAGAACAAATCTTTAAAAATCTTCTTCTCAAGAACCACTGAACCAGGAAAGCTGAAACCTTATGTGGAAGCATCCTTGGCTAGTGTAGATGGTAAATTGTTAAAATCATGACCCCTGTGGGAAGGGCGGGGCCACAATAGGGAATCCAAGTTTTACATAGAAATATATAGAACAAATCTTTAAAAATCTTCTTCTCAAGAACCACTTGGCCAGGAAAGCTGAAACTTATGTGGAAGCATCCTTGGGTAGTGTAGATTCTAAAGTATTAAAATTATGTAAGGGGAGGGGGTATGGAGGGGGGCATGATAGGTATAGCAAGAGGGGAAATTTGCTAAAGATCTGCTTCACCCAAGTTACTCAGGTGAGCGATGTGGCCCATGGGCCTCTTGTTGTTATTGACATGTTGTTTTATATCATAACAAAATGTAATTTTTCAATATTCATCATGGAATTAAGATTCATTTGATTTGAGGGAAATGATTGTGAAGTTATTACATGTAATAATTAGAAAACATTATAAAGGTGTCTAGATAATATGTACAGTAGTGTGACATAAATGAGTTCGCAAAATGGCCGCCGTCATCGTAAGTATTTAAGAAGGGCGGTGAATCAGTTGCTGAAATAACGTTATCGCTTCTCTTAAAGAAAAAAATATTTAATTGAAATTTAGGTACGACTTAACTAATTCTGTCCATTGTTGTAAATTTGGATTATTCCCCTTTGATAAACAATTATCGTCTGCTTGGAGATATGGCTCCCCATGGTCGAGAATTGACGAGTGACTTAAAAGAAATAATCATTCAGATGTCAAATGAAGGTCTGTCAAGCTACAAAATTGAAAATCTAACCGGAATTAACAGTCGTACCATCCAAAAATTTCTCAAACGTGTGAGGGAAAGGGGTAACATAGAAAATTTACCGAGAAGTGGGGTGAAACGAAAAACTTCACAGAGAGATGACAGGGTTCTTTCCCGAAGCATTAAAATCAACCGTCGTCAGACTTTAAAAGATATAACATCCAAATTCAATGCCAGGACAGGATCTAATGTGTCACTCAGAACAGTTCATAGACGATTATCAGAGGAAGGTTATAAGAGGTGCGTAGTTTCTAAGAAAACAACTGTTTCACGCGTGAATAGAGAGAAGAGAACCCGATTTTGTCGACAGAAATTGCACTGGACAGTAAACAATCATTGGTCATCCATAATATTCAGTGATGAGACTAAGACAGTTATTGGAAATAACGATAAAGTTCATGTCTGGAGGAAGAGTGAGGAAAGAATACGTCCTGAATGTGTCGGGTTGCGTGGTGATTGGGAAACGAACTGTCGGGCTTCCCTTATGTTTTGGGGTTGCATATGTTATAATGGAGTTGGTACCCTAAAAACTGTGGATGGGAACATGAATAGCGAGAAATATATTGCAATTCTTGATGAGTGTCTTTTGCCTGTGATCGCTCGTCATTTCCCCAAACCGACGCTGGACCTTCCAAGAAGACAACGCCCCCTGTCATGTCTCCGCTTTCTCAAATCGTTGGAAACAAGACAATAACGTTAACACTCTACCATGGCCCCCCACAAAGTCCTGATCTAAATATAATAGAAAATGTCTGGAGAGTGCTCAAAATCCGTGTACGAAGAAGGACACATGAGGTCAAAAACGCGAATGATCTGGAGCGAATCGTCCATGAAATATGGAGTAGCCTCCCTTTGCACTATATTCAGAGTTTATATGCAAGCATTCCTAGGAGAATTGGAAGTGTTCTACGCTCAAGAGGCCATATAACAAAGTACTAACACAAAAAGGTAAGTGGTAATATTAGTTTATTGATAGAAATTAGATTTTACATACCGCAAGCGCACCGCACGCATGAATGACGGCGGCCATTTTGCGAACTCATTTACGTCACACTACTGTAGATATATTCATTTGCTGTTTTAAGGCAGAAACTGTATCAGAAGTGAAAGTTAAAGAAGTAGTACATGTACCTGGTATGTGAAGATTTAAGCTTGAATAATGGAATTGTAAGTAAACTGAAAAGAATCATTTGTTTCATTAATACAGCATGTAATAAATGATGTATCCACCATTATTTGGAATCTTAATCTTTATTATGAATATTTGTCAACAATGCAAGGTCTAAAATTCAGTACTGAAAAACAAATGAAAATAATTCTGGAGCCTAAAATAGCTTTTCCCTGTGGAAGCTCTTTCTTGAGGATTTTAAAAGTCTTTGCCAGTCCAATGATCCTCTCCACATGTATACGCTTGGAGGCGATTCTTCGGTCTTTGACGACATCTTGTGCCTCAAGCTGGCTTTTTTCTTTTAACATTGTTGGTGTGTTTACTTGAATGTTACGAGAAGCAAACAAATCCTGGACCATGATGCCCCTGTCAGCAATTATACTGTCATGGTCTTGAAATTTGTCTTTTTCTAGTAACAAGTCAGGCGTTCAGTGATTTGTCTGTCACTTGTGGCACCATAGTAAGCATCCGAAATATAACTAACAGTGCCACGTGGTGTGCAACCAATCATGACCTTTAGTGTATTTTTGTTCTTTTAATTGGAAAATGTAGCACTCCGGGCATTTACATTCTGGGGCTTATTTATTGGTACCTCGGTGGCATCAAGTATTACTCTAGTTTTGTTAAAATTTGCAAAGAAGTCATCGGGCGTATATTCATCTATTACTGATCTAGAGGGCCAAATGTTAAGCTCTTTAAATTGAAAGTACATAAAGTTGATCCATGTAACAATGATATTTGAAACAGTACTTTCACTAACTTGAAACAAATAACACAGCTCAATGTCTTCTTTTGCTTGTCTCAATTTCATCATAACTAAAAACAACTGGTCTTGTGGGGAAAGTAAGTTGCTCTTAAGGTTCAAATCATGTGCTGCGGGACCAAGAACTTGAAAAAACATCATGAAGTGGTCGTAATTCTCAAAACCTGTGTAATATTTCACCATTTTATCATTACTCTGCAATTTTTCAATAGAAAACCTGTTGTTTTTGCCAATGTCACACTGGACTGATTGATCTTGCAGCTTGTTTTCATCACTTTTAATACATTCTGATTTACAATCTACACTAACTTCTTGCGCTGATTCCACCACCACTTCATTCACAACAAATTCACTACTAGAAACATTTTCATTCACAACACATTCACCACTAGAAACATTTTCACTCTGATCTGTATCACACTTGACTCTTTTACTGTATCTTTGCTCTCTTGTGCTAGGTGACTCATTCTAAAACGCAAAGGGAAAGACAGAAGGAACAGCTTCTGTTTTCAGTCTCTTTCTCTCCCCTTAAAATAAAAGAAACTCGTCTGAAGCTTACTTTCAAATTTACGTTTTCTTTTTATTTAATCAGATCGGTATAAAAACAATACTGTCAGATGTTTATGTAAGTGGTAAATCGAGAACCGCCAGGGTATAAAAACAGTAGTTGTAGGTTAATGTTGGGTTATGACCAGCATGCTGAACATCGCGTTGAGATAACTACCATCGTCTGCGAACGATAATTTTGAACTAAGAATTATTTCCAAACTTTAAAAACGTAATTATTAGATCAGCAATTAGATTAAGATAACGGACTAACCAAGTAATGTTGACTGAATGTAATCATCGGATGTGAAGTGATCGCCACACACCCGGTCGTGAGCAGCTGGCTTCCATAACTTTCGTGTTTTTACATCCAATCTTCGAATCGCGACTCGCCATTTTGGATTCGAAGGGAAGAGATGCCCGCCTATCTTATTTTTACACATAGGTACACAGCAATACACTGGCATATCGACGATTTAACACAAACGCGGTTTCTAACTTATAAAGTAAACAATATCGCGACGGATCTATACCTCATAGTACACAAGCGCCATCAGGGGGACATAACTCTTCTTGGCGGACCTTATTAAATTGAATGTGATTGAAAACAAATTAAAAGGTTGTATATACAAATGTACACTGTAATTTACATATTCACATAAACCAACCATTATTGGAGATATTTTTTATTTACGGTTCGTCGGTTTGTAATCAGTCTGAGATGTTTAATTTTCGCTACTGAGGAAACATCTCTACCAATACATTCAAAATAAACAACTGGCGGCGATTAATGTTTGCAAGTAAAAGTAGATCGCGAAACTCGCGGAGATTCTTCGCACGTGAATAATTGTTGATTTACAGTAATCTAATCAAATTTGGTTGCATTTTAAAATATTTTTTTCGAGGTTTAAGGGGGATGTACAAGCCATATTAGATCTAGTCTGGTGTAAAATAAGAAATACCAAGAATGTGCTTAATACTCTACTAAACTAGCCCAAAGTTACTCAAAGTGCTAATGCACTAATTACCTACTGTTAGAGACCAAAATTAGTAAATAATTAAGTGTATTTTGTTTTAATTAGGAGGAAATTAATCATGTTAGAACTGCGCAGCTACAGCATTCACAAGATGAAAAATGCATTGAAAATGTTGTTAGTTTGATTCATTGATAATATGGCTACAACCATTTGTTTCGTATTTTTCTCGTCATTATCAATAATTCTTGAAAATTTGATTTTTCATATGGGTGTCTTCCTGAGGCCATGTGTTTATGTCGTCCGCCATTCCTCTGTCACACAGAGTTCGAATAACATTGATTTTAGAATAAATACGACCATAATAACATCAAGACAAGAAATAACTAAGTAATAATCATTAGGTTATATTACTTACTACTTTTATTTGTTGCATCGCATCGTCTGATTAATGAAAAAACGCGATTTTAATCCCACTCCAGCAAATCGGGAAAAACTGTTCTGTTTACAGCTCGAATTTCCTCGATAATATCATTCCACTGAGCACGTGGTTAGCATGTGCATATATCTGCTGTGGAAAGATGCGTTTATTTCTATGATTATATTTATTTTTTCATGGAAGAAGTCTTGATAATTTGTTGGTTTTTTTAAAACTCAAGAAAAAAGATAAAATATGTCCTAAACATATGTGTTTACGGCGGGTCTTTTTTCTGTGGCGATAGAAGTTATTTTCAAATGGGGCACTGCAAGGAGGATGCTTAGCATTTTATTTGAAAATGTTAAACAATATGCGGTGCATGAAAAACAAATTGTAATTACATGTCTTACATTCGAAAAGTTGGTACATATATTGAGTACATATGTCTATTTTGTTTAGCAGTTAGATAGAAAAAATAGGCAGTTAGAGGATTTCCTTCAGGCACCTCACATAAATAGCTAGATTGTTTGCAATGAACCATACATTGTATGGAGTAATGTTTGGACATAAAAACGCATCATGTCTCCTTATGTTGACAACGTTGTAAGCTCTCGCTCATTGAACATACGAAGCTTGATAAAATATATTGAGTCGTTTCTTTGAAATTTAGAAGCAAGCACAGTGTTTGCAAAGAAAGGTCCATTGCATATGCTATGTCTATCATCGCAAAAAAAAAATGAGAGGCTACACCCCCCCCCCCCCGAAAATCCTACGTTTGTTTTTTCAAAATAGTGCTAAAGATTAAAAAATTTCGCATTACTAAATATGTGATGGAACATGTACTAACCTTATAAGACCGTTTGTTATAAAAATATTTGGTTGCCCTCTCTCCCGATCTCTTGCCTAGAAATGGCCCGACTCAATTTTTTTTTACATCTCATTACACGATTTTTTTTTCTTCCGTCAACAAATATGTTTAAATGTTTAGGAATTTTTTTCTCACCTATAAATACGGACCCAATAATTTTTCCTTGAGTTGAGAGGACCACCAAACGTCATTTTAAAGATGGTATAAAATATTTAATTATATTGAATTTTTTCTTTTATACTCTGTAAAATTGTAATTTTGACAAAAAGGGCAAATTGAAGAAAGTTTTTTTTTATTCATTAAATCTCCTAACCTACTCTGAATTATTTCATTCCTTTTCAAATGTTGCTCCGCTGTAATGAAAATTGTAAAAGTTTATTTGACAGAGTATACGAGGGGTGATCAAAAAATAAACGATATCTTAGGTATTTGATAGTTATATTATTGTTGAAATATTCAAGTATTTTTCAAAGTGTAAATTGGAGGTCTTTGATAGCATATTGCTTAATTAAAAACACATCCCTTTTCAAACTTGTTTTCACGGGGCAACATAACAAGTATCATATTTAACCATCTGCCTTCCTTCACTAAAACGATCTATCCAATCATTGATTGAATTTATAGGAAGTCATTTGTCTTAATAAACTGTGAACAAATTCTTATACGCTACTTCAAAGGCATGTTTATTATGATTTTACAAACAGCGTGACAGTCTGCTTGATGGGGCGTGCTAAATGTTTTTGTGCTGTTTATCATTTTGCTCATCGATTGGATCAATGAAATCAATACTAATTTGCATATGAAACTAGGAATACAAAAATAGCCTGATAATACTGACCAATCACATTGAATGATTATTTACCAGTTCGGCATTTGTAGTCAGCAGCAACACGTGGTCAGTCAAAGCCCGTTTTCTGTCCTCAAAAAAGGGTTGTTTTATATTTGTTGTGATTTGACCGGATGGGTTTTTAAATACATATAAGAAAGTTAGTAAGGCTACTCTGCTTCTGTTGTACTATATATGTACGTTGCTCTATCAATATCATCATTATAGGAAGTAGAACTTGCTTTATCCGTTCACGTGTTATTGTTGTTTATTGAATGCGATTGGTCAGTATTGTCAGTGGTATTGCTGGGTTCTGTGTTTCTTAGGCAAAGTATTATTGATTCTATTGAAATCAAACATCCAATCGATGAGTAAAATGATAATCAGAGATACAAAGTTTTAGCACGCCCTATCAAGTAAACTGTCACGCTGTTAGTAAAACCATAATAAGATATACCATAAATATTTTTAAGTTGTTTGTTGAACGAGTTCCACAGAGATAACCATTTTTTGTCACAAGTACCTGCGTAATGACGTCATTTTCACATTGTAAGAAAAACTTTATTCAGCATATGCTATTTATAGAACTTGTGTCTGGCTATGTGTGCACCAAATTTGTTTCTAATCTGAATTGTGGTTTTGTAGAGATAGTTCGCGAACTTTTTGATCACCCCTCGTACTAGTAGGTACTAAAACAAGGTCATTCATATCGATTTTATGTGTTTAATTTCTTTATGTTTCATTGGTGATAAATAAAATTTTGATAGATATTATGTTATCTGTGGCAAACTTACAAACTCTTAATTCTTAACTTTGATGGTACTCATTTTTCCTTACCATGAATCAAAGAGTTTAAGATTTTTTCTTTTATATCAATACGTACACTATTTGACAACTGTTCGATAATAAAACTAAATAAATTACTTCAAGCCACATATATAACACACTTATAACACATATCCTCTTTTAAAAGTGTTCATATTATTTGAAATATTTTGCAATTGTAATTCTCTTCTACATTTAAAGATTGTTATATCCCTCCATATTAAGAAGAGGTCTGGAAAACAAAACTCTGTGCTAAAAATAGACCACGTGCTGCTATCCATGAACTACTTTCATGGTTCTTTACACTCTTTTTGAAGACAACAATACCTTGTTTTGATCTTGAAATAATCATTTAAAAGTGCAAAATTTAGACATTTTCTCAACAAATGGTTGTAGAGAGAACATTAATACACAGTTTGCGTATTTTTTTTGATTTTTTAAGGCTCTGCTGAATTCTGCAGCTGCGCAGTTCTAAGTAGCATATCAAAAGCATTTTTCTGCAAAAGTATAGATTATATATGCACAACATGCATTCAGTTATGCATATTTATTGTATCTTTATCATAAGGACTTAAAATTTGATCAAAATATAATGTATTTTAGCCATTTGAAGAAATGTTTACATTTTGTTCTCACTGCACTAAAGGTGGCCGTACATCCCCCTTAAAGAGAAAAGAATTTAATATTTTTTATGACATGGCGCAAGATGTAACATACGTATGTCTTTTTGTATGTATAGTCAAGTTAATTAAAATCAACATTCTTGTTACACCAATTAGTAATAAAATATGTATGGGCCAGGAATTTTACATTGAAGACATTCGGCCCGTCTGGGTCCTTAATTTTAGGGGACATTTTCTTTTTGGTGATTTTGAAAATATATTCACATTTCCAATGTCCTTGTCCGAGATAAAATTACAAATAGTCAATATACTTTATTTCCTCATCAATGCAATGGTTCATCAAAAGGCGTGGTGAGAAAAAGAATTACGTGCAGGGTGGGACAAATAGAGAAAAGAAGCGGGGCCTGTAGCACGAGGATTGGCGGAATAAAGAGCATGTAAATATAAGGAATAACTGTCAGATTTTTCGATTTCATGACGATGATCAATCGATTGGCTTGCGTGATAATTTTATGCATAAACGCCTTAGGCTTTTAAGCAAATTATCACGCAAGCCAATCGATTGATCACATCATGAAATCGAAAAATAAGACAGTTATTCCTTAAATAGTAAACAAATAATTCCGATGAATATTAATAGGTCTCTCTAGTAAAGATATGTATAGGTTTCCTGGAAAACAGTTTTATTAATTTATAGTTCACAAAATCGGAATAGAAGAAAAAGGAAATGAATAATAAATAGATGAAATATCTTGTAGCGAGGAGCCCGCTTCTTGTCTCTATTTGTCCCGCCCTGCACGTGATTTTTTAACAGCGCCTATCGATGGACCAGTACACTGATGGAGAAATAAAGTACATTAACTATGTGTGATTCTATCTCGAACAACGACATTGGAAATATATAATGTAATAAACCGGTATTATTATGTTCCCCAAACGAAGTTGGGGAACATATTGTTTTTACTCTGTTTTTTATTAAGGTCTTCCGTCTTCACGGAAGACCTTATAGTGATTCTATTG